AGGGAGGGAGGGAGGGAGGAAGGAAGGAAGGAAGGAAGGAAGGAAGGAAGGAAGGAAGGAAGGAAGGAAGGGAGGGAGGAAGGAAGGGAGGGAGGGAGGAAGGAAGGAAGGGAGGGAGGAAGGGAGGGAGGAAGATCACTCCCAGTTGACCCACTTCTTCCAGTTCCCAGAGTTTTCACTGCCACCCAACATGGTACAATCAGCTGAGGAGCAAGCATTTAACAATTTAGGCTATGAGACATTTGATATTCAAACAATAACATTCCACCCCTGAGCTCCAAAGTCTCATAACGCAAAATGTTTTTAGTCCATTTCCAAGAGTCTCCAAATTCTCAACAGCTCCAACATTGTTCAAAAACCTAAGTCCAGAGTCTTTACCGATACTTAAGACAGTCTTTTAGCTGTCCGTCCCTATAAAATTCAAAAGTAAGTTAATGGCACAGCATAAACATTCCCATCACAAACGGGAGGAATGAGGTACAGACTGGACAAGTGGAACTAAAGTAAATTCAAAAGACGTCAGGGAAAACAGTAGGTCCTATTCATCTCTGTGTCTAGCAATTTTCTTTTTTTTTGGTCCATCATGGGGCTTGAACTCTGGGCCTGAGTGCTGTCCTTGAGCTCTTAAGTTCAAGTGTTCTACCATTTGAGCCACAGTAGGACTTCCAGTTTTCTGGTGGTTAATTGCAGATAAGAGTCTCATGGGCTTTCCTGCCCAGGGTGGCTCTGAACTGCCATCCTCAGATCTCAGCTTCCTGAGTAGCTAGGATGACAGGTGTGAGCCACCTGAGCCCAGCTAATGTCTGGCAATTTTTGTGCCCAATTTCTGAAGCCCTCAGGCCTGTACTCATCATCGTTAGCTGTCCTGGGCTGATATTCCACTTTCTTAGCATCTCTAACATCCTACAGTCTCCGTTGCCACTTTGATTCCCTCAAAGTGTCATGCTTCACCCTCTCCATGAACTTCCTGCAGGAACTTCCACCCCGTGACATTGCCTGGTCTCCCAAGCCTTCATTTGAAATGTGTAGAAAACTCCATGACCCCAAAACATTTTGCCTTCTTCATGCCCACAAAACTAGCATGGCATGACGGATACCAAGGCCTGCCAGCAGCGTGGTCAGTCATCAGCCCCCTGGGGCGAAGGCTGCAGCTGGGCACTTTCCTAGGCAGCCCAATACTTGCAAGTTGTTCTGGATCTCTCTGCGCAAAGAAAAGCCTTTCAAATGAATAATAACCTTACCTGCTAACTCCTGATGCGGGGGAGGGCTGGCTGATACCCTCAAGGCACCTTTTTTTATTGTCCTGGTACAAACTAGTTGATTTCTTTTTAATGTCACTAATCTTTTGAACAAGCATGCCCTCCTAGTCTGCACTGTAAAGTTCTTTTTCCAGCCAAACTACACTTCTTTTGAATCTTTTTTCCTCTGTTTTTTGTTTCCTAATCTCCCTGTAAACCTGGATAAAAGCAGCTAACAATATCCACACCATAGACTAAAGGCTGTGGTGTCTTGAAATTTGTTAATTAGTCCATTACTTTAAAATTCAGCCTCTCACAAAATCTGTAACTTAAATGGCTTTTAGTCCAGTTCCCAGTAACAGTTCTTGTTCAATGGTTATAAGCACAGTCATTAACTGACCACCACATTGCTGTCAAACATTCTGGTCTTCCAAGCTCCCACCAGAATTGCCCATTAAGCTCAGCTTACCACCTTCTAGGTTTTCTCCAGGACAATTCTCCAAACTCTCCCGAAGTCCTTCCAAAAATGATTTCTAAAGGCTTAAGAACCATATGATCTGTTCGTCACAACAACAGTTCTATTTCTCTGCTACCAATTTCCTGTATTATTTGCTTTTGTGTAACTGTAACCGAAATACCTGAGAGAATTACTTAAAGGAGAGATTTATTTGGGCTCATGGCTTCAGAGTTCAATGCATGGTTTCTTGGTCCCATATTCTTGAGCAGATCATCACTGTAACAGAAGCTTCTTCATCTCAAGATGGACAGGAAGCAGAAAGAGAAATGGAGACCAGATAAAATCCTCAAAGACATAGGCACGCCCCCAGTGACTCGCTTCCTCCAACTAGGCACTACCTCCAAAATTTCCACCACCTCATCCTAAAATAACACCATCTGCCTGGGACCCAAAATTCAACATGGGAGCCTCTGGGGGATGTTTCATATTTAAACCAAAGCAATGATGTTTTAGAAAATACACTCAGAATCTCACTGCTCATGGATGACCTCCTTTAATATGTTGGCATATTTCTTCCCCACACTTTATTCATAACCTTTTTTCTATTCATGTACTCTTTATTTATAAAGTAAGATTATTGTCTACCACCTTTTTTCACTTGATTAGATGTTGTATCTTTCCTCATTAATAAACATATATCAATTTTTGTTGGAAAAATATAAAGACTATCCATCTGTTTGCACAATACTGTGATTTGAGTTTCAATGACCTGATGGGGTAGCTCTGTCCTACCTCCTACCTCCTACATACTATCTCCTGTCTCTCTCCAAAGGCAGGTAGGTAGACTGTTCCTTTGTTCCTTAAGGGCTACCTCTCCAAAGGGCATATCCAGTCTCCTGAACAGAGAGAGCAAATGGAAGTGTTGAGGAAATGTGTCTTCTAGTCTTTAGAACACAAAGAGGGCCCACTACCACATCCCTGTCTCTCAGAGAGCCTCTCTCTGGCCCTCCTGAAGTCCTGCCTCTACTTGCAAGATAAGAAATCCCCTCAGTCACAGGGACTTGTCCACTCAAGGTCTGGCCTTCTTTCTGGATCACACTCCTGGAGTTCTCCAAGTGCAAGGTCTCCAAGGGCCTCCTTCCTGTCATCTTCTTCAGAATGAGCATAGACGTTACTTGGATGAGAACACCTATGATGTGTGGAGGTGGCTGGAGGAAAGCTGTGAGTGGAGTTCTGTCACCCACAGCATGTGGGAGCCCTCATGACTGGATGTGAAGCCAGAGGTTAAGAGAAGGGGGATCATGGTGTAAAGTTGGGAGACGAGCTCTCCCCAGATTTAAGCATAGAACTCAGAATCATCTCTGAATAATAATTTCAAATCTGGCCTTCCATGCACCACAGTTTGAAACATTACATTTTAATAGGCCTTTTAAAAATTGGTTTATAAGCTTTAAACATTTAGACATATGATAGGCAAGTCTCCATTTGTGCTCTGGCCCTGCAAATGTTCTGAGCAGAGCTAGGAACCACTGCAAGACCAGAGCCAATGTTATGCTGCAAGAGATGAAATGAAAGCCAGTATATGCGCCAGGACAGCACCGAGCTCTAGTGTGGCGAGGCTGCCAGGAATCCTGCTGGAGCTGCTGACAATGATGCCCCTGCCCTTTCAGATCACCTTCAGGAGAGACCACCTGGAGACCTGCCTCCTTTCCCTGGGTTGTGATGTGATGGCAAGAGAACGCAGCAACTTTGAGACCTACTCCATGTGTTATGAGCATGTATTGCAGCATGTCATGCAAAAGCTATGCCAGAAGGAGCAGGTACATGTCCAGAGAGAAAGGAACTGCAGAGGGGGAAGGGAGAGGCCAGGAGTCACTCATAAGGGCAGAAGGGAAAAAAAGCTAAGCAGGGGTGATAACAGAATCCATTCCTATGCAAGAACTGAGGAAGAAAGATACTCCAAATTTCTCTTCCCCTTGGTTTATGTTCTTGTGTTGTAATATGCTGTTGCAGAGCCTAAGGCCTCAACGGTACTCACTTGTGTGTTCTGGAAGGGTCCAGTGGGCAATGCAAGAGGTCACCAACAGGTAGGCTGGACCTCTTCGCTGTGGAAGGTACAAAGAAGATCTTCCCCCTCTTAACAAACACAAAGCTTCCGATGTAGCAAATAAGCCAGGGTTTTTGAGGAAACTTTAGGATGTATAACAGGGGTCAGGACCACTGATGAGACCTCCTTAAAAGGAGACCCCACTGGTAGGATCCAAGAGTCTCTCCTCCTCTCCTAGGTTATGCACTGTTTTGAAATAGATTTCATCAGCTGCTCTGTATAATATTAATTTATATCTGACAAAAGGCATATCTTGCAAAGACTAGCCAAAAACATCCAATGATGAGTCTTGGATTTGCCTTCATGTTGGCTTATCTCCATAACTGGGTTCTCTGTCTCTGTGTGGAAACCTGGAAGTGCAAGTTGTGGTTGATGTTGTGCTAGAAACCCTGAAGATAAGCATAGTCTCCATTTCAGATGGGACCTGTGGATCTCAGGATCGAGGCTTTGTTTACACAAGCAGGTTTGGGTCATGTGTTGTATTGAACTGAAATACGTTTAGAGGAACAAATGTTTGAGTTGGGTTGTGTCCTGCTTTCTCCTCAGGAATTAGAGGTGCTACAAAGAAGTCCAGTTCCACCCGAAGACCATGCTGGTCAGGTAGGTCAATTACTAAAAATACTTTCTTCTGCATTCTTACCTCCATCCTCTCAGAGTTCATCAGAAGTGGGACTTCCAGAAGCTGGGCACCAGTGGCTTATGCCTGTAATCCTCGCTACTCAGGAGGCTGATATCTGGGGATCATGGTTCAAAACCAGCCCAGACAGGAAAGTTCATGAGAGTTTTACCTCCAATTTACCACCAAAAAGCTATAAGTGGAGCTTTGGTTTAAGAGGAAGACTACTTGCTTTGAGCAAAATATCTCAGGGCCAGTGCCCAGGCCATGAGTTCAAGCCTTAGGACCAGCACACACACACACACACACACACACACACACACACACACACAAAGTGGGACTTCTGAACATCGTTCACTTGAGTCCTCTGTAAAAATCCCATCATTAATAGTCCATTCAGAAATACCCAAGTAATATACTTTTACTTCTTATAAACAATCCTTCTTAGGTCCATTTTTTCTTGAGTGTTTTTCTTTCCTTTTGAGAGGGGTGTTTTTTGTTATTTTGTATTGTTTGGAGGTGTTTGTTTTAATTTGAGAGAATTTTGTGATAGTTGTTTCCTTTCTTTTAAGGTCAATTTAAATACATTCCGAAATGGAATGGTATTTGGGCTGATGTGTTAAGGAAAGCCAGTTGGGAGATAGAAGCGAAGACAGTTGAATTGCTTTCAACTGAAAAGTGCTTAAATAGCATTTCTTCTGTGGCCACTCATCATGTGCTCTTCATCTCATCTAGAACAGTTTTGCAACTGTTCTGGAAGCTTCGAACCAACCCGAGACTCTTTGGCCCACATTTGTGCAGCAAGATATTCATTTTCACCATTAGAGTCTAAAAGAAGGGCAGATTCGATCGTCATCTATAAGGAACTACTTTACAGTTGCGGTTGGGAGCTCCCACATTGTTTTCCATACATGTATTTCTGTTGCTAGGTTGCAGAGCTCAGTCATGACATGATCATGGAAATCACTGCTCTGAGAGCCCAACTCACAGACTTGGAAGAAGAGAATGTGAATCTCAGAAAGCAGAGTCGAAAAGAAGTCCAAGAAGAATACGAATCATTGGTCCAAGCTTTGTTTATGACCTGTTTACACATAAAAGTAAGTGTCCCCTGTCAGTGGCCTTCTTAGAACTATGGCTGAATTAGTGACAGATGGCACTTGGCCCAAGAATTTTCCAGCTGTAAGTTTTTGCTTCCGAGAGAGAGAGAGAGAAACAGTTTGCAGTGGGTTGACATTATTCTCTCGTGTCTGACACTGGACACTGTAGCTGTTTATTTTCATACTCTATTGCTAGTTGCCCACACTTGCCATCTGGTAGTTGTTGGGAGGAGGCCATTCTGCTCCAAATCCCCCACCACTCAAATGAACCAGCCTGGTGCTCCCAGGCTGTGCCAAACTCCAGTGGAGTAGGCAGTACCACCTCCTGAGAGCGCCCTGGACCTGAAACGGCTTTCCGTGATTTATTTTTTCCAACTCTAACACATCCTTCAGCCTTTTACATCCTATATCAGGGAGCTGTTGACCTGTTAACCAAGAGCCACCTCAGAATGGGAGTGACAAGTTCCCTTATGCGAAGCACTGTGGAAGCCAATCATTTTCTTTAGATGTCTGAGCAACTGGAAAATAGATGATGTCTCATGCTTCAAACAGCTGTATGCGGGAGCTTGGTTCAGCTGCCCTGAAACAGAGACTTCCTTACAAGACTACAGTTCCCCAAGTCCTGCACCTCCTTTGCTATTGATGCACCCCAAAGCCAGCCCAACTTGGGCTCTCATCTATTTATACCTCCCTGGGGGTTCTAGCATGGTCTCTAGAGTTTTTGTTAACCACCAATGTTCTGTCTTGGCCTAATCATTGCAGAAATAAGAGCTATTTCTTTGTACTTGCAAAGTGTAAGTGCTTGAAAATATTAAAAGATCAAAACAAAATGCTCTGGACCTGGTGCTGGAGGAGAACATGAGGAGTGAGGGCTGAAATTTGTGGAGCAATCTTCTAAGTGGGCAATTATTGAGAAATGCCTTGGGTTTCTTTTAGCTCTGGTCTGGTTTCTTGACTTGACTTCTCCAAGCAGAAGTAGTTCCATTAAGCCTTCCAAAATAGAGATTCCCTGTCCTACTCCAAGGTCTCAAGAAGATGGTGAAGCTTCTACTGTATGGCTAACTGCCCGGCTACCCCCCTGCCTCTTTTCTGAGGAATTGATTTAGAGATGAACGGGTACTCCCAGGATGTCTTTATCTTCTCAGGCTACCATAGCAAGATGCCACAGACTAAGTGGTTTACACAACAGAAATTCATTTGCTCGCAGTTCTAGAAGCTGGAAGCTGGAGACCAGGTGGCAGCACAGTGTGTTTTTTGTCAGGCCTCTCTTTCTGATGTGCAGGTGGCTTCCTTTCTCCAGTGTCCTCACATGGCAGAGAAAAGAGAAAGATGCCTTTTTGTGGTTTTCTTATTACCATGCCACCATCTGATTAGAATAGGAACTTGCCCCTGTGACCATATTTTAACCTTAGATACTTCCTAAAGATCTTCTATCTCCAGACACTGTCATACAGGGGGTCAAGGTCTCAATATGTAAATTTGGGAGGAAACACAATTCAGTCCATAGCACTGAGACAGCAGCTGTCTCATTGTAAGCCATGAGCCACTCAGAACAGAACATTTCTGCTGGAATCTAAATAGGAAGACAGCCTGCCTGATTCCTTCCTCCACTTACCTGCATTTCGTGGAGTTCCTGGGTAGTAGCTCATCTATGGGGTATTGTCTGGACTGATTCTGCTCTGAGTCAACCTGGCAGTAAAAACCTTCAGTTCAACTTTCCCAAGTAACCCTGCCCAGGGGGACAATTCAATCAGCAGGTTTTCTCTGCGACCTCCCACTATTTGATCCACTTGTCCTCCCTGTTCTACTCACCTTGGGGCTGCCAATCAAAGCACGCTCAAGGATGTGCAGGTGGCCAAGTGATGAAGCCCAATGGATTAACGACAATTCTCAAGGCTCACTCGGTGAATCCCATGTAATACTTCTTGGAAAAACTGGTTGGAGGATATTTTAATGTGACATTGCTTTCAAATGGTAGGCAAAATAGCTCTTCCTCCACTGCCCTTCACACCACCCAACCCTGTCATACTTGCTTGACCTGAGTCTGCAATTTGCAGGAGAAGCTCGATGAGAATCAGCTTAATTTGATCCAGAAAGTGTGTGAGCTCATCAGAGAAGTGAGAACAGAAGGGATCGCCAATATGAAGGAGCTCAAGCAAAAATGGGGCTCTGCCAGGCCTGAAGAAGGAATAAAAGAAAGCCCAGCCAAAGTACGTGAGTTCATTTAGCAATGGGATATCAGTGGCTCATCCCAGCATTTGGCCCACTGTTTACCTGATTAACCAACAACCCAGGCTTGGTTGCCCTGAGAAAGTAATAGGGGAGATGATTTTTATTTAATTTTATTTTATTTTGTGCTGGTCCTGGGGCTTGAACTCAGATATTGGGTGCTATCTCTGACTTACTTTGTTCAAGGCTAGTGCTCTACCACTTAAGCCACAACTCCACTTCCAGCGTTTTTGCTGTTGGAGATAAGAGTCTCATGGACTTTCCTGCCTGGGCTAGCTTCAAGCCATGATCCTGAGAATTCAGCCTCCTGCGTAGCTAAGAGGCTTGAGCCACCAACCCCTGTCTGTTTTTATTATCTTTAAGTAGTTTTACAAAGGGGTTTCAATATGTCAGTTTATGAGTTTATGCATATTGATCAATATCACCCCTCTCATTATTCTCCCCCATTCCTCCCAACCTCACCCATCCTGACAATTTTCCTAGTTTCATAGGAAAGTTTCATTGAATGTTACAACTGCTTTCTCCTCGAAGGGGGTAGATATTTTTAAGTGAGCAGAACTGAGGCTCACTGCGTAGTCATGGAAAGCAGGCTTTTGACGTATATCTTCCTGGGAAAAGGGTTGGGGTGGCCTTCTCTGAAATTGAACCTTCTTGGCAGGAGCAGCTGTGGGCCTTAGAGCGGGACAATGCGCACCTGGCAGCCCTGGTATGCAAACTGAGGAGCCTGGACCGCTGGCGGCTAGCTGTGCAGCAGGCTCGCTTCCAGGGCCAGCTGAGCAGGGCAGAGAAGGTGAGAATGAGAGAGAGCCCCAGAGATGCTCCTGAGCCGAGCTGAACGCAGCTGCCACACTGGTGGCAGGTGGCAGGGCCAGCCTTCCTGAAGAATCTCACAGTTGACCATTTTTTTATGGCACTAGGCAATGTCAGAGCCTGGGAGAACAGATCAGAGAATGGAACACAAGGGAAGTGAAAAGATGAAAGAGAGATTTACCAAGAGCTTAAGTAAGGTTTCTTTGTCAGACGATTGCCTATTTGGGGATTTTAGGCATGATAATCTGAGGGAAATGAAGTAACAAAATAGGTGGGAAATCTGCTTTAAAGAAAACTGAAAGCATGTCTATATATATATACTTATATATATATATATATATATATGCATATAATAGACAATAAACAATCCCCTCAAAAAAAGTGAAAGCAAAGCATATATTGTTAGTGTTTGGAAACTATAATTTACTGTTTCTGAAAGTCTGATCTGTCACTGTATTCTTAATTAATATCCCAACAAGAGCTCCATCCTATAGGCTACAGGAAACTTTAAAGAAAGATGTATGATGAAGGAGTTTGGATATTACCTGTGAAACTAAGACTATAGAACAGAAAGTCATTTCCTACCTTCCTGTGCTTGAACTCTTTACAGGAATCTATTCAAAGTAAAAAAGAGTGTTTGCGCATCAAGCTCATGGCAGAACAAGAAGTGGGTTTACTTCGTCAACAACTGCTGGCTCTCCGGCAGGCCCTGGCCAAGGCCCAGGCGGACAGCGGGAGGCTGCGGAAGCAGCAGGGTATCCAGGTAGCTGAGGAGCCTCAGCGCCTCCTCCTCCCCCTCTCAGCCTGCTAAGCTGAGCGTGGCCACACGAAGGCACTACAGATGCCAGGAGCAGTCATCAGAGCTCCACAAGGAACCCCCATCTGAGAGCAGAGCCAGGAAAAGATGGCTCTGCCCCTGGCTTCCCTTCTCCTCCTTTCCAGCCCAGAAACCAAGGGCAGTGACCAAGAGGCTTGTCTCCTTACTCATACTTGGCTATGATGATAAAATATTACTCATATGCACGATCATCTGGGTGTGCGTGCACTCACATGAGTGCAGGCATGCGTGTTTCTGAGGATCCTCATATTAGAGGATGTCTTTGGCCCTCAACTTCAACTTTCTGTAGACCAAGCACATTCTCTATATGCAGCAACTTCTGCCTGGGAGTCCTATCAGTCAGCTGACTTGGCAGGGGAGGTAGGCTTTTTCTCTACACGGATAAAAATCATGGGTAAGTGAGAAGCACTTTCAGTCCAGTGCCAGCAGTGCTGGGCCCTTGAGTGCCCAAGGCCTCGACTCGGGGATCCAAAGGCCTATGTTCTCATGCCCTTGAGCAGCAAGGGCCTACTAATCCAGGCTTTAGAAGCCAGAGATTTATGGTACTAGACACTCAGGTTGGAGGCCTATCATTCTAGGGTTTAACTACCAGTGGCCTGTCACTTGGCAGCTATTATAATCCTCAGCATCTAGAAGAGAGTGGCAGCAGCAGACAACAGCAGGTAATAGGAGGTGGTACTTTCTGATTGTTACAGCTTTCATTCAGGCCTTGGGTTCTGAAACCTTACAGCCCTCACTGGCTCCTCTTCTCTGCTCCCCGTCATTTCTGCCCTGCTTGCTTTCCGAAACTTTCCAGTGCCTTCTGACCACTACAGCTGTTGTTGCTGCTGCTTCCTCTGCCACTGCCTTCATTATCACCACCTTAGCTGCTGCTACCTTTTTGCTTCTTTTTCCGTTGTCCTCTCTTCATGTTAGCAGTGCAGTAGCTCTGCTAATGATAAAGATCAAAACCAAGCAAGAAAAAGTCACATGAAAGAACCCTTTTTTTGGGGGGGGGAGTCCTCTAGAAGCCACCATAGGAGTGTATTTCCTAGCTAGCTCACAAAATAAGCCTTCTTATATAACCAGAAAGGCGACATGCCGAGGGTGTTTGCAACTTTCATAGCACAATTTCATGCAAATTAAGGACTGTGTTTGTACCAATCACAGAAGAGCTTCATGCAAATGAAGGCCCGTATTTGCATCAATCACAGGCCTTCTGCTGGGCCACCAGGGCAAGTGCTTTCCTCTGGCCTGGGTAAAAATGATTGCAGGGACATCTAGAGTTTATCAGGTCTTGTGATGGCAAAAGGTTTGGTTGCAAGCAAGCTATTTGTAACAGGCATAGCTGCAAGGTAACTGCAACATAGCTTCATGGCCTCCTCAAGCTATCCATGGAAGACTCAAAGCATCCACCTGACATGAAGGCATCCAGCTAGCTACTTGGAGTTAGTCCTGCACATAAGACAAGAATCTAACATCAGTGTTCAGTTAGAGAGTCAAATTGCTCTGACCCCCAACACCTTAGCTTATTTAAAGGGAAATTAAATATTGAGAAGTTGCTTACAATAAAGACATTAATATTAAAAGTGATTTGGCAGTATTTAACACAGCATTAGTGATAACTCCTGCCTCAGTGTCCCAGAAGAGGTTGGTCCTACTATGCCTCAGGAGCATGGTCCAGCTTCGCAGATTAGACCCCAAGCTGAGTCTTGAGATGTCTTGAGAGTCTCAGGTCCTCCCCTAAGGATCCACATCCAGTCTTCAGAAGCCACTACTACTCCATGGTGTTGGCACTAAAATAAAGAAGTTTTAAGTGGGAACTTTTATAACTGTGTTAACCCTCTGGGCAGGAATGTTCATGAAAATACATGAAAATGTGACTGAGCCAGTAAGAAAAAGTTGGCTTCCCATATTTGTCTTACAGTTAGAGTGAGAACACCTGGGTTTATATCCCAACCTGGGGAAGCTGGGCAGATTTAAAGTACAAAATAACAATTTGTGTGTTTTGAACTCTTAATTTCTGTATGAGTATATATCAGGTGAATTTGTCATGGAAAGTACTTGGTAAACTATAAAGACACCATACAAGTATGAATAAGTGTTAATATTATGACTAAGAATCAGCCCTCTAGTACTTAGAGTCTGATTTGACACACTTTGGAACAGAACCAAATTATATCAACCCACAGCCATTTTGAAAGTGAAAACAGCAAAACCAAAGCTCCCTTCCTCGCGCTCATTGCTTAGGTATCACAATTTGGGGTTCCCACAGCTAACCCTTCTGCGGCCACACTCATGGTAAAGATCCACAGTAAACCACAGGTAGTTTGTGATAGTCTGGTTATTTGTGAATGCCTAATTAACATATATATTAATATCAAATTATTTGATTTAATCACCTGCCAGGCTTTGGTGTTTTCTGTCTGCTTGTTCCATTTTCCCCTGGCTTGTTGCCTCACAGAATAATGCCAGGCTAGACTAGATCCTGCGGCCCTCACTGCTGGCTGGCACAGGACAGGCTAGTTGTGCTTGTTATCTAGAACCCAGAAATATGGCAGAGAGAGACTGGTCCTTGCCTGGGATGAAGGGAATGGAGGATGTGTTGCCTGCCTGGCTCAGCTCCTTCTTTGGCTTCCTTGGCCTTTGTTTGCCATAGGCCCAGCTGCTGAGGGAATTAGAATACAGAGTAACCCAAGATGCCATCACCCGGCAGCAGCTGGACATCATAAGGACATCCAGCATGGAGAAGCTCATGGAAGATGTGGAGCAAAAAGAACAGCAACTGCAGCTCCTCACTGCAGAGGCTGCAAGGGCTTCGAAACTGGGCCAGCTGCAGCAGAAGAAAATGAAGCGCGAACTTCACCAGGTACACGCCAGTGAGCGCCAACCAGAGGGCTCTGGGAGCAATCTCATTCTAGTCACTGGTCATATTTAGACTACCCTGGTATGTTTGCTCAAGCAAGCTGTGATGGCACCCTTGATACCCCTGAAGAACACGTTTCCACCCTACTTGAACCTTCGATCTGGGATTCTCTAGAAAATTCAGCACAGGTGGGCACTGATAGCTCATACCTGTAATCCTAGCCACTCAGGAGGCTAGGATCAAGTACTATTAGGGGTCTAAATAAGGGGATTTTATTCAAGTGTTTCTAGAAATGCAGAGACAAACATGAAAGGCCAAAGTGGTCTGAACACACAATTCATTTCTACATCCCATGGGGGAGGAGGGGGAGGATGATTAGCAATGTGGGACTGGATTAATCTGAGCTCCAACAAAACCAACCACAGGATGTAATTTAATCAAACCTTACACAGGTGTTTCATGCTTATCCAATGGATGAAGAAAGTCCTCAATTCATTCACTAGCAATAGTAGGAGACAGAAAAGTAAATTAAATTGAACTATTGGTTTTCAAGTGTTCAAGATGAAAATCAGTAGAGAATTCCATGGTAAAAAAAAACAAATTGAATTGAGAAAATGCCAAATAAAACATTTGGGTAGAAATAGAGGAAACCAGTAGCTTTAAAATTAGAATTTCATGTTTCCTTCAAATACTAAAATATGATTGACTCCACTAAAGAAAGTTGGCATTCCATATTTGTCCTATCAAACATGCTTTTCTAAAAGCCACCAGACAAATAAATAGGTTCATAGATTAGGCTCTCCTAACTTCTCTCTAGTTAATAATTTATTTAATGGAAGATATTCTAGAGATACTCAAAACAAATATTAATACCACATGTATGTCTAAACACTGGCCTTTATTTGCTGGTGGTATTGAGGTTTAAACTTGAGGCTTCACGCTATTCCCTTAGCTGGTGCTTTACTGCTTGAGCCATACTTCCACCCTAGTCTTTTTGCTGGTTAATGAGAGATAAAGTCTCATGCACTTTTCTGCCTAGGCTGGCTTCCAACCTCGATCCTCAGAGTTAAGCCTTCTGAGTAGCAAGGATTGTAGTCATGAGCCACCAGTACCCAGCTAGCATTTGACCTTCTGTAATGTACTGCTCTGGCTCTAAAAGCCCATGTGTCCATGGGCTTCTCCACTCCAAATAATGCTCATCCAGCAATAGCCCCACAGGCCACAGTGGCCTCTTAAACTTTCTCTAGCCTTGGCCTCCAGAGGTAGATAACGGCTGTCTAGTCTCAGAGAGCACCAGTGCCCCAGCCTGCTTCTGGTGCCTGAGGAACTCACTTGACAGCATGAGCTATGAAGTGAGGCTGCCTGTGCATCTCCCAAGCCTTCCAGCTGTGTGACTTTGGGCCTGTCTGTGCTTCACTTTGCCATCAGTACAATGGAAGTAATATAATTACTTCATAGGATCCAGGGGAAGATTAAATTAAGTAACTCAAATAAACACATAATGGGGCCAGGTGCCCAGCTCTCTATAAACATGGGTGTTTATAATTTTGTTGGGACTATGAAGGCAGACAAGCCTTCAAAAGGCAGTAGTAACTGGTTAAATGACTTTGATCAAGTTCTTTGTGCCCATCTCTGATGTGAGGGTAGGTCCTGGGTAAGCATGCTTCTTTCCCCTGCTAGTATTCCTCATACTTAACTTTGGTCTGGTTCAAGAAATTGTGATATGTTTTCCCACCCAGGAGCACAGTACTGTACTGGAGCACAGAAGACTTAGGACCAAATTTATATTCACAAGTTTCCCTAACACTGCTGCTCTGAAAAATCCACTGAAGTTTACTTTTGAGAGCATCTCCCCCATACAACATCCCCCTTTAATGTGTTAGGACCGTCTGCGGTCACAGCTGCACATGTACAGGGACCTTCTGGTTGGGTCTATGTGGCAGGAGAAGGGATTGAAAACACGTGTGACCGAATTGTTGAGATTAGCATGTACATTCATTTCCCTAGGTTGTCATAAGATGTTACCACACATTGGATGACTGAACACAACCGAAATGTGGTTTGTCGCAGTTCAGGAGGCTAGAAGTCAGAGATCTTGGCAATATTGGTTCCTTTAAAAGGCATTGGGGGAAAATCTATTCCATGCCCCTCTTTGCGCTCCTGGAGAAAGAAAGCTAGCAGTCCTTAGCATTTACATAACTCCATTTCTGCTCTGTCATCCCATAGCCTTTGGCCCTATATGCCCCTTGGTATGAGGGTATCCTTACCCTATCCTCTTAGAGGGACAACAGTCGTTAGATTTAAGGCCCACCCTGAAACCAGTATGCCCTCATCCTAACTTAATTATATGTGCAAAGATTCTGTTTCCAAATAAAGTCACAGAGCTTCCCAGTGGGCATAAATTTTGAGGAGACACGATTCAATCTACCATAGATTACTTTTGTCTACATGTGCCAGTATTGGGCCTGGCACTCTCCCTTAGCTTTTTCGCTCAAAGCTGGAACCCTACCACTTGAGGCATAGCTTCACTTATGGCTTTTTGCTTGTTGAGATGAGTCTCACAGACTTTATTGGCCAGGATGGCCATGATCAAACCATGATCCCCAGATCTTAGTCTTCTGTGTAGGTAGGACCACAGGCATAAACCACTGGCATCCAGCAGCATGTTTGCTTTTATAAATAATTTTTAAGGATTAGGAATGATCATTTTCAAAGGAAAAGAAAATATCTATGACCTATGCTGATGAGGTGCACTTTGCTTCCATCTCCAGCCCAACTACAGTGTTAGGGGTCAATCATGCAAGGGTTAAGCTGCTCAAGGAAATCCAAAGGTTGCCCCCTGGGAGGAAACTTCTTTTCTGAGAAGATGCTTAGCTGCAAGTGATAAGACACACACACACACACACACACAGAGAACACAAGTCTATACTGGAAACTGCCCTTCTGTTCCTGAGGGTCCTTTGTACATGCCCTAACTGGGTACCCTAACTTTCCTCATCTGGTGAACAAACATGAAAGAAAAAAAAAAAGAGCTTCGGGCCATGATACACTTAGCTCCTCTAGTTACGTTCTTGGTCTTCCTGAAGCTGTACATTTGCAGAAAGACAAGCTTGGGCCTGAGTTCTGCCTCACCCAGGACTCTGAAGAGCTGGGGCTCTTTGTAGGTGAGCCGGAGGCCCTTGAAGCCCCCTAGGATCTGAGGGAACTAAAATGAGCTCCACAAAATACCTCTGCTTTCCTTTCCCCTCAGATGAGAAGCCGGCTTGCCCAGGAGCGCAGTGTGAAGCTGGATGCTTTCCAGCGTGTGGAGGAGCTACAGAGTCGGCTTAAGGAGGCTGAGCAGCCATCTGGGCAGATGAGCACCTTAGGCAGTAAGCACACCCAACTCTGGCCGTAAGAGTTGCGCAGTCAGAGTGGAAGGGAGTACGGAGGCAATGGCTAACAACAACCAGTGTCTAGTCCTGGGTTCTCCACAATGTTTGTTCAATGAATGAATGAGTGAATGAATGACATGTGAATGAAAGAAATCGTAATTATGACTAATGGATTTTCCACTTCAGTTTACCTTGGAGTGGTAGCATCTGTACTAAAAGGTTTCTATCAATAACAATAGTGTATATAATAGATCACTTAAAGAACATTAAGTCCTCCACGGAATTTTGAAACATCTTAATGGCTTGGAATACCAAATACCACATTTCTCAGATGTTATAAAATGTATTTATGATCCGTGAGTACTGAGAACTTAAGGAGTTCTGTGAAAAGACCAATCAAAATAATCCTCTGGCAATGTAGCCAGTGGACAGCAAGGAAGTCCTGATCACTCTCAACTAGTTCCACTAGATCTACAAGAAATCTACCCAAAACCTCACCAAATATCAGTAACAGTTACTTGACCTGTTGTCAGGATCAGCCCCATGCCTCCCTTTCAGTCTTCTAGCTACACCAGGTGACTAAGGGTATGAGGGTTGGGACTTTGGAGGAAGTCAGTCGAATCTTGTCACTGCAGGCTATCACCCCAATTCTTTTTTTTGGGGGGGTCCAGTCGTGGGGCCTGAACTCTGGGCCTGGGTGCTGTCCCTCAGCTCTTCAGCTCAAGGCTAGCGCTCTACCACTTGAGCCACAGCGCCACTTCCGGCTTTTTTCTTTTTGCTTATGTGGTGCTGAGGAATCGAACCCAGGGCCTCATGCATGCAAGACAAGCGCTCTACCACTGAGCTACCTTCCCAGCCCCCCACCCCAATTCTTAATCTCTACTTCACAAAGAAACCAAAAGCCATCAGAGAGGAACTGGCCTCCATTTCAGGTCTCCCAGCGCCCCTACTTTATACACAGCTGCATCTCCTCCCACCTGTGCAAATGGAAAAGGAACTTTGATATAGGTGTGGGTTGAGTGTCTCCCAAGTGTTCCTGGGTCAGGAGTTTGTTCCCCATTGTGGTATGCTGATAGGTGTAGCCCAGAGAGAGGTTCTTGGGTCACTGTGAAGCTGCTCTCAGAAGGGATTAAGGTAGTTCTTGCAGGACCCTGGAATTCTGAAGGGAGACCCTGGCCTCCCGTAAGTATTCCTGCTTCCCTAATGAGGCTCCATTAGAGGCCAGCCCAAAAGGGCCTTCACCCACACCCTTACTTTCTTTCCCACTGCCTCATCTTAGACTTTGAATCCCCAGAACTGTGAGCTACAGAAATCCTTTTCTTTATAGAGTTAGCAAAAGAAATTGGGTTAATGAAGGATTCCTTTTCCTCTCCAGGGCCGGTCTCTGGGCAGGAGGATCTCATTTATTCCCACCTTCTCAGGAGTCTTGAACAATTCTTTCTCTACTTCCTGTCCACACACTCCTATTTCCCATGTGTGCCTCCTGATCCTGCAACCAACAATTGTATATTGTTCATGAACTGCAAGATTATAAAGCCAAATATGTATAAAATAAAAGCCTCCCTTGATCATATATTTCTTCTGCTGGTAGCCTTCCTCTTCACCATCAAAATTCCTTTTTTTTTTTCTTTTTGTCGGTTGTGGGGCTTGAACTCTGGACCTGGGTACTGTCCCTCAGCATTCCAACTCAAGGCAAGCGCCCTACCACTTGAGCCACAGTACCACTTGCAGTTTTCTAATGGTTAATTAGAGATAAGAGCCTCATGGACTTTCCTGCCCAGGCTGGCTTTGAACTGTGATCCTCAGATCTCAGCCTCCTGAGTAGCCAGGATTATAGGTGTGAGCCACTGGTGCGCAGCTGTGAGTACATTTCTTGTCAAGCTTGTTACCTGGCACCCAGCACTATCAAAGTTCTTAAAGGGAATCATTCATACCCCTCCCCTCCCCCTCTGCTTTTTTTTTTGCTGTTCCTGGGGCTGGTCCTGAGCACTGTCTCTGAGACTCTGTGTGCTCAAGGCTAGCATTCTATTCACTTGAGCCACCGCTCCACTTCTGTTTTTTTTCTGAGTTTATTAGAGGTAAGAATTTCACAAATTTTTCTGCTTGGGCTAGCTTTGAACAAAGTCTAGACTTTGTAGGCTAAGGTAGACAGGCTATCTAGTTAGCTACTATGGTGGCTTTAGCACAATCGGGAGCCCAGGTTCCTTTCACTATTTGCCATTCTTATCGTGTGGCTTCCACCACATGGTCCAAGGCAGCTGCTTAGCTTTCTGGCCAACAGCAACAAGGAAGACAAGAAGAGTCCACTGATCCCCCAAAGGGCACCTCCTTCATGTAGCTCATTGGCCAACACATACAGAAGAACACTAAAGGAGGGGTTGGAGGTCTGGATCAGGTGATAGAGCTCCAGCCAGGGAGCAAAAGCACCAGGTACTGAGTTTGTGTCCTGGTCTAGGACAAAAAAATAGAAAAGAGAGACTAGGAAACGTAGCTTTTATTACAGGACAACACAAGTCTAAAAAATGTTTGGGGTTCTGGAAGAACGGCATTTGGAGACCAAGTCTAAGTCTTTGCCGTGTCACCAACAATTTGTAATTTCATCCCCACTTCTTCATTGTGCCTGCTTTGTCAAGGATCACCAAGGCTTCCATGTCTAAAGTCTAAAGCCTAAAGGAGACTGTTTAGTCTTCATGTCCTGTCTTGGCAGCATTCAAACCATGGCTACATACTGCACCTACACTCTTTTTTCTCATTTCCACAGTACTGCTTGTTGAGGTTTCCTCTTCTTCCTCTAGCTGCTGCTTCAGTTTCCGGTTCCAGGCAGGGTGCCAGCAGCTCACACCTATAATCAGAGCTACTCAGGAGGCTGAAATGCAAGGCTTTCTGTACATAGACAGCTGGGGCAGGAAAGTCCGTGGGACTCTTACCTCCATTTAACCAATAAAAAAGCCAAAAATAGAGCTATGTCTCAAGTGATAGTGCCAGGCTTGAGCAAAAAACTAAGGCACTGAGTTCAAGCCCTGATATTGGCATTGCGTGAAAAGAGTGTCTTTTCTATCAAAGTGTGTCCTACATCTTTAAAAGTTCCTGCTTTGGGCTGGTGGCTTGGCTCTAGTTAAGGAAAAGAGGAACTGCTTTGAGATAAGGAAGAACTTTTGAACCATAAGGTTTTGTCTTACACTGGTTCCTCAAGATGGAATAAAGCTCACCTCAAATTGTTCAAGAAATAGCAGAGGGATACTATAAATCTTATTATAAAGTTGCCTTATGCATTTATGTCTTACCCTGTTCACACTAGCCAATGTCCATCAGATTGTGAACCTGGCTTTAACAACCTGAGCCTGAGGGGCAGGGCCTGCTGCATTAGGAATGGAGGGAATGGGCAACCTGACTGCTCTGTGTGCAGTCTTGCTCTGCTTGCCAGATTTTTGGCCAATGGCACACCCTTTTGCAGACGTAAATTTGGCCTTGTTAATTCTTTATTCTTTTTGTATCTATTGTTGTAACTCCAGTGGTTCTTGGAGATCATATTTATAACATATTTTTTTTCACCACAAACATATATGTCACAGTCTACCAGTCCCCAAGGCGAATTAGACGCTAAATCTGCCCATGACAGTCCACTAAGTAGCAATGATAAGCCCTGCTCTCTTCCCTACCTGGAAGGGGTAGCCTTCACAGCTACCGCTGTGTAAAAAAAAAAAAAAAAAAAAAAGTTTCCTGTTCCAGCTTCTGCTCCTGTATCCAGCCTCTGAACACCAGAGCTGTTCAGGATTCATTGTTTCTGGATGCTAACTGCTTTTGTTCCTGCGGCTTTAATCATTGCTTGCCAAGTCTACACCTGCAGCTTGTAACTCTCCAAGCAAGCTCTGGACCGTATATCCAATGACAACTGGATGTCTTATCCTGGGATCTCCAGCTTGCAAGTTCAGCAGGCCAAACAGAACCATCTTCCTCTCCTCCTCCAGGCCTATTCCTTTTGGGGTAAAGGAGGCGCTGTCCCAACAGATGGTATTGCCAAATATCCAGTTACTTGAGAAATTTGCTGGCTCTTTGTCCTGACCTGTCAATCCAGTTAATTACCACATCCCGTTAATAGCTTTTAGTCTACGTCTGCCTTCTAGCTCCACTTTTACATGTCATGTAACTCTCAGGAATAATCTCAATCCAAGGTTTGAACCTTAACTCAAAATTGATGAAGTTGAATTAGAGGCCCATTTTAAGGTCTTAACTTTCATAAATTAAGTCTAGTTCCAAACATTACAATCTGATGTCTAATTTAAAACATTTTTAACTTTACAGGACTTACATCCCAAGCTCACTACTCCCTAAATTCTGCTTCTATATCATCCAGATTCTCCCACCAACACTTTTTGAAAACTAATCTTACTGGTAGTAAAGTGACAAGACAGATTCAAAGACCAAAGACGGTAAGTAATAAGTCTGATTACATTCATGAAACAATGAAAACCTTAAATCTGACATTATGCTTCAAATTTACATTAGATGTTGAAATAAGCCCAATGACAGCTTCTCAATTTCAAGTCAATCAAAGGGTGTGGAAGTCAGTACCAGTGCTACATTCCATCTGGATTTCACTTTTAACCATCTATAACCATTAACAGCAATCCCATCCCTCATGAGTTCCCAAGCATAGTAGAAATAATTTCATGTCATTTTTAAAAACATGAGAAATTACCCTCCAAGGAAATTCTTAGCAGAGTAGCATATATTTGGCAATTTTCATTAGTATCATTTAGTGCACAAAGGGCTTTCATTTTAACATGTCCATATAATCACACAATATCCCTCAATCAGACTGTCTCTATCACTCTTCCTCATCTTCCTCCCCCCCACCCTCCACCCCCTGCTTCCCAAACAAATCTCAACAAGCTTCACCAGTCCATTTCCACACACAAACATAAAGTATTTGGGCCATATTCACTCTCCTTTATCCTATCCACCTCCCTCCCCTCTCCTATTATTTCCCACACCCCAGACAGGACCCGTTTCATACTTCTAATATCCAGTAAGTGCATTATTAAGTGCCTGTACATGTGTTTCATAAATATACTTGATTGAGTACCTCATCTAATTTTCCTTTCCTCACTCTCATTTCCCCAATCGATTCTTGACATGTTCCTTTTATGACATGTGGCAAAAAAAAAAAAAGTGTGCAAACTGGCCCATTAAAGGCCTAACGTAGTCTGAACCAATAATTTTCATCTCAATATCAGTGGCCTTTTATTATGCTATCACAAGATTTGCCATTATTTTTAAAATATATCAGTATCTACTTAATATTACAGGTACCTATTAAGCACAAAAAAAGGACTGATGTTTTCCAACCCAGTGTGGAAGAAAATGTGCAACTTCCAGCTTTTCAAGTCCAAACAGCTCCATCTAGAATCCCATTCAGATCTGATTGGTAATACTTTTTCAAATTTTATTTGAATAAATGGCTCTAAATTCCTTGAATCTTTTATCTTGGAAGAAAGTACTGCAGAACTGAGATGTGGGTTTGGTGCCAGATCTTAAACATCAACATTAATTTGCACTCCTACAAGCTACCTTCATCGCGGGTCATCTACTCTCAGTCTCAGAGTTACTCTGCAGGTAGGATAGCTAAGATAGAAGGCCTTGCTGTGGAGGCTGTGTTGTCTGAGCTGAAAAGCCACTATAGTTGAACAGACATCCATCCACAAAGAATTTTCAGATTGATGTCACTAAAAGCACTATCTGCTTCTAGCAGTCTTGCAGTTCTTCCTACAAATGCCACAAAGTTCACCTCATACTTTACTAAAGTCTCAATCTAAGTTTTATCTTTATTTTTTTGTTCAAAGAAGAAAATATGTTCTGGTTAAAACAGTAAATAAATGGAACAGAATTAGCCAAAGAAACATTTACAAACATAAATGTATTATTATTGTCTGAATTTTAAATGTCCCCCAAAATCCCAACTCTTGATGCTATTGGAAAAATTTTAAGAGATGAGGTCTTTTAGTAGGAACTTACTCAAAGAGGATTTGGGAGCCTAGCCTCTTGTGCCTACTCTTTTACTTCCTGGCTACCATGAAGGGACTTACCCATCCTCTTCTGCCATACTCTCTTGCCTTGATGTAAATTACCTGGCCATAGCTCCAAAAGCAATATGGCCAACCACCAAAATGACATGCTTAAATCAATTCCTCTTTTTAACTTCATTAGCTCAGATATTTGGTATAATGACATAAAGCTAGCCAATACAAATATAAATGGCTTTTCAGCTGGGTGCTGGTAGGCTAATGTTTGTAACTCTAGCTGCTCAGTAGGCTGAGATCCAAGGATCACAGTTCGAAGCCAGCTCTGGGAAAGAAAGTCCCTGTAAGACTCTTATCTCCTATTAACCAGAAGTGGTGCTGTAGCTCAAAGCACTAGCCTTGAGCGAATGAGCTCAGGGACAGCACTCAGGCCTGAAGTTCAAGCCTCATAATGGATAAGAAAAAAAAAAAAAAAACTAAAACAAACCATAAAACACTAAATGGCTTTTCATATTATAGAGGATAAATAAATTGATTTTTTACTTTTCTACCACACACGAAGAATTCCAAATGGACAAAAGATCTAAATGCATATACATATACAAACTTATTTACCTCCTCGCAAAAAAAAAAAAAAAAAGCCAAGAGGAATATTGGTAAGTTTGATATTAAAACAAAAACTTGAGGAATGGTGCCATGTCTGTTTTCCTGCATTTAGGAGTATGAGGCAAGATCACATGTCTGAGGTCGGCCTAAAACACTGTCCCAAAAACAAACATACAAAAAGAACTCAAACACTTCAAATTGAGAAGACACTGCAAGGTATTACTTACATGTCTGTTTTGCCGGAACTAACCCAGACCTTGCAAATTTCCCTCTGCCAACTGTCAGGCGAGGGTGCTAAGACCGCTCTGTAGAAAGTTCTGGTGTACTTCTTGGTCAGGCTCTCTCCAAATAAAATCTGGATCTCAAAATCATGGAGGTTTTGCTAAACCTCAAATCTACTATCCAGACATTCTTTAGTTTTATTTATTCTCATCAAAAAATCACTCATTATGCTAATCCCTTGTTTTGGTTAATGTTTTTCCTTGGTAATACTGGGATTTAACTTAGAGCTTGCCTTGTTCAGCAAAGTACTCACTTGAACTACACCCTGAGTTTTTGGGGTTTTTTTTTGGGTCCGGTCATGGGGCCTGAACTCTTGGCCTGGGTGCTGTCCCTCAGCTCAAGGCTAGCACTCTACCACTTGAGCCACAGCACCACTTCTGGCTTTTTTTTCTGCTTATGTGGTGCTGAGGAATTGAACCCAGGGCCTTAAGCATGCAAGGCGAGCGCTCTACCACTGAGCCACCTTCCCAGCCCCACCCTGAGTTCTTTTGCTCATTTTTTTCCCCACATACAGACTTGAATTTTTGCCAGGGCTAATCTCAGATCACAATCCTATCTTTATCTTCCAAATAGCAGGGATTATGCCTCTAACTCTAATAATTGTTTACGAGATCATTTGTTTGGTTGCATCCTTCAAATGGGTAGTATGATAGTTGGGTGTATGCTAGTGCCCAATGAAAGTCATTTAAAGGGGGCTGGGAAGGTGGCTCAGTGGTAGAGTGTTTGCCTTGCATCCATGAGGCCCTGGATTCGATTCCTCAGCACCACATAAGCAGAAAAGGCCAAAGTGGCGCTGTGGCTCAAGTGGTAGAGCGTTCACCTGGAGCTGAAGAGCTCAAGGACAGTGCCTGGGCCCAGAGTTCAGGCCCCACAACACACACACACACACACTCATCTAAAGTAGCAGTTATTCATCGAGTTCAGGCCCCACAACACACACACACACACACACACACACACACACACACACACACAGAGTCATCTAAAGTAGCAGTTATTCATCAAGTCAACAAAACAGCCTTCTGAGGGTGTCAGATATCCTCATTTCCCTGTGACTTCACTGCTTGGTAGTTATACAAGGAGCACAACAGCAATGACTCCCCCTTTTCCAGGCTGACTACACTACTGCTGTGTGCCTCTTCTGCACAGAAGCGAGGCCAAGGCTAAAGTTAACAATTATCTGCCTAGTGGCAGGTTCATTTCATTGGTGTTTTTGTTGGTGGTGGTGGTTTGTTTTTTTTTTGGAAGGGGCAATACTGAGATTTGAACTCTGCATCATGTATTTGTTAGGCCTTCTACAATTTGAATTATGCCTCTAACCCTTTTTATTGTAGGTTATTTTTCAGATAAGGGCTTGTTACCCATGTTAGCCTCATATCTTGATTCTCACCTCTGCCTATCAAATAGCTAGGGTTACAGTGTAATCCACCAGGTTTGTCTAGATAACTTACTTTGACTAGGCTGGCCTCAAACCACAATGCCCCTTCTCAATCTGCCTCTCAAATTTAGCTGAAATTGCAGGCATATGCCACATACCCAGCCTGCACTGGTTTTCTTTTATGATGAAATGGCATGGATCCATCTTCATGGGAATATATATTCTGGATATAAGCCCCCCCCACACACACATATGCTCCTGCCAATACCACTGACAGCACGGCATCCTAATTCCCACAGCACAGCTTCTAAGCAAGGATTCAATTTCACAACAAAGAAATGCTGCAGGAGGCTCATCCTTAAAGCACAATGTCCTACCCTCAAGTGGCTGGTCTCATTAAAAGGTTTATTCAGACAATTGGGAGACACTATCCTGAAAGGAAAGCATATGCTTTGAGTCAGGTATGGGCTTCAGAACCATGAGTCATTGGAGTGGTTCCTGCTTGTTATCCCTTCAACTTTGAGTATGGAGGTTTGGGTCCCAGGAACTATTATACCCAGGAACATAAAGGGTCCATTAACAGAAGATCTAAGACAAGATTGCTAGTTAGGATTCTATGTACCTGAACCAATATGCAGCAAAAGGTGACCACTCTACTGGCTGGAATGATCAATTCTCATTGCCAAAGGGAGACCTTACTACAAGTGCACAAAAGTGGTAGAGGATACATAAGATTCTCTGGGCACCTGAGTATTTCCATGCCCCAATAGTAAAACTTAATGAAAAACTATAGCAACAGGCAGGTTATAGTCACTCTACCAAGTAAAGAATCCTGGCCAAGCCAAGTACTTGTGGCTCATAACTGTAATCTTAGCTACTCAAGAGGCTGAGATCTGAGGGTTGTGGTACAAAGCCAGACTGGGCAGGAAAATCCATGAGACTCTTACCTCCAATTAACTAGAAAACCAGAGTGGAGCTGTGATTCAAAGTGGTTAAGTGCCAACCTTGAGCAAAAAGAGCTCAGGGACAGCTCTCAGTCGGAGTGCAAACCCCACAACTAAAACAAAAAAACAGAAACACTTGCAAACCAAAGGTCTAATCAGAACCTCACAGAAGACCTGAGGTAGTGGAGGGAGATCCTAGGTTTATATAAACAAGGGCCATTATCAATTTGATTCCTCTCCATTTTCTTAGTATGTATTTATTTGTACATTCTAACCATTCACATTTTCTTCACTTTAATTATATATTCAAGAGTAGATGTTAAATTCTCAATTTAGTTACAAAATAGTTGATGTAACAGTGACAAGATTTGTGAAGCAAGGAACACAGCTAAAATGGAAACAATGTTGGTACAGGGCAGAGACTAGTACTAATCCCACACATAAGGAAGCTATCAAGGAAAAGGTTCAGTACCTGGTGCTCACATAAAGCCGGGATCAGAGCCTGTTCATAATCTAGGGGACACTGAATACTCAGAAGGGTCTTGCCTCAGTGCTAGGGAACAATCAGCCCAAGAACAAATGTTCTGTTCTTGCTTCAAGAAGCTTCAAAGATCCAGAAGGATCAAATTGTCTTCAAGTAACTTAACTTTGTCTCAGCACAATGATTAAGGTACGGGAATACAAAAATACCCAGTACTCAACAAAGTAGAATTTATATCTGGCACCCAACAAAAGTTTATCAAACACCCAAAGAAACAAGAAAATAAAACTCAGATTAGAAAAGTAAATCAATAGGAAACCAATCTATTTGATAGCATTACTAGATATGGATATTAAAAATTATTACTCTTACACTAAATAAACCTATAGAATGACTATAGAAACACAAAAGATAAAATGAAGACCTGAAATTGGGGGGAAAAAAACTATTTTACATTAATAGTAAATTAGTCCTAACATAATGAGACAGTATTAAAGACAGTAACAGGATTGGTCCAGTGTGAAACAGAAAGATTTTTTAAAAAATCTCTTAATAGACTGGATCAACTTCTAGTAGGTTCTGTATATATATATTTTTTTTTATTTTTTATTTTTTTTTGTCAGTCGTGAGGCTTGAACTCTGGGCTTGGGCGCTGTCCCTCAGCTCTTCAGCTCAAGGCTAGCGCTCTACCACTTGAGCCACAGTACCACTTCCGGTTTTCTGGTTGTTAATTGGAAATAAGGGTCTCACAGACCTTCCTGCCTTGGCTGGCTTTGAAATACAATCCTCAGATCTCAGTCTCTTGAGTAGCAAGGATTACAAGCATAAGCCACCAGCGCCCAGTTGTCTGTATAATCCTTAATAGGGCAAAAGGAGTGAGAACAAAAAAGAAAAAAGAAAAAAGCATTGTAGATAATGTCTAGAATTTTCCAAATATGAAAGCTAAAGATCCAAGTAGCTCAATTATCCCCAAACATGAGAAACAAGAAAATATACTCCATAGCACATCATAATCAGTTTTCTCAAAACCAGTTCCAAAGAGAAAAACACTTTAAAAAACAGAGGAAAACCAGAAGTATATAGAACAGAAGATTAAAAACAGAATTGTCACAGGACACAATGCAGATAAGGAGACAACAATGCAGATAAGGAGACAACAAACCAACAAAGCATAATTTTTTTTACTGAAAGCAAAATATGTCAACATTGAATTCAGAACTGAAATCTTCCAAAAGCAAAGAGTATTTAAACAAACCATGTATAAATAACATATTGGTTCTTGTATCTTAAGCAAAATATAAATTAGAAAATGCAGATGCAAAAACTATTGTACTGGTCTGGGAAGGTGGCTCAGTGGTAGAGCGCTTGCCTTGCATGGCTGAGGCCCTGAGTTCGATTCCTCAGCACCACATAAGCAAAAAGGAAAAAGCCGGAAGTGGCGCTGTGGCTCAAGTGGTAGAGCGCTAGCCTTGAGCTGAAGAGCTGAGGGACAGCACCCAGGCCCTGAGTTCAGGCCCCACGACCGGAACCAAAAAAAAAAAAAAAAAACTATTGAACCAACAAGTAACAAATCTAATTAAATATTGAATGAAAAGTGCTATTGGATGGACAGCCAAGGAAAATACAAGTACTTAGAGCCATCTACATGAAAAGAACAAACGAAATGGTAACTATGCAACTACAAATATGTAACGTTTCTCATCTACAAAACATTTTGCCCCTCTTACCAAAAGAACAATAGCACTATGTTTTATGGAGTTTTTAAGCTTGGCATCAAGTTGTTGGTAGTAGGCAGTTGAACTCAGGTATTCACTTTTGCTAGGCATTTGATAAGCTACTCTACTAGCTCTCTGTTCTGCTGGGATAGGTCTCTTTTTTAGCCCAGGGGAGCCTAGATTGTAATTCTATTTATACTTCATACTGTAGGCGAGAGGACAGGTGCCACCACCTAGCTTATTCTGTTGACACTGGATATCCAGCATTTTTTGTTTTTGAGAAGTTATATATTTAATTTAAACACTATACAATGCATTAGAAGTATATTTTACCCCATTCATGTTTTACATTTTTATGAATCAGATAAAAACAAATTTAAGTTAAATTTTGAGAAGTCATTCAGAATTCCATCCCCCCACCACTCCCTCTCCCAGAATTTTTTTTAAGCAGGGATTACCTAGAACTGTGATCCCATCTGTCTCATGAGGAAAAAGGAGTAGAGACATGACACACGCAACCAGCAGTACTGTCTTATGTAATTATCAAACTTGACCATATGAAAGGTTTATATGAAACCAAGTTTGTGATTTCTAAGTCAAACTATAAGCCATAGCCTTACAGATAATATGGCTTACAAAGCAGTACGTTTTGCTTTTTCCTATAGAACTGGGGCTTGAACCTAGAGCCTCGAGCTTGCTAGGCAGGCATTCTACCATTTGATCCAGCTCCCCAGCCCTTGAGTAACCTTTAATACAAAATTTAATTTGACCACAAAATGGTCAATGAATGGTACCTCTTGACTTATGCAAGCATGCCACTCTCATCCTCTGTCATTTATAAGCCTCTGCTCGCCATAGACTAATTCTTAAGTTATTATTGATTGATCTAGAGGAGCAATAAAAACAGAACATTTATCCCCATGGACTGATAGGGCAGTAAAAATGCAACCGATTTTATCCAATAAAGAGAGCAAGTATTCAATAAACAGGTAGATTTATTTTAAGTCAGTTTGGTACATGATACAGATTGGTTTTCAGCTTTTAATGAACTAAAATAGAAATTTCTAAGTACAGCAGTATCTGTCTGTGCAACAAGTATCTGTAAGACAAAATAAGGTATTTGATAGAACTACATTTGCATGAACAAATCAGATGAAAAATCTGAAAACATTTTTATATACCTTCTGGATTAAAAAAACCCAAAAAATGTTAATGGCTCAAGATACTACACTGCTAAAGTAAGGGGGGAGGGGCAGGAAAAGGCTGAGTTCTGTTGCAAGAGCTCATCTGTAGACTTGCAAAATCTAATTTCCTACTGTTAGCACAGTGCTTAAAGGTACAGAATCTTCAAACAAGTTATATTTTGACAAAATTTGCTACATGTGTTGACAATGTGTGGCAAGGAATTTATACCCACATAAATGACAATTATACTATTGTAGCTAATGCCTGCCACCTTGTGAAGAACGGAAATTCTATATATTCTCAAATGAATCTTATAGCACTTACTAAAAACTAACAGCCCTGGCACCATTATAAGTTGTGAGGTACCTAGAATATTACTAATGACAACACAAAACTGTGAGGTAAACCTACCATTCCCCAAAACCTTTTGAAGTCAAAGATTTAAACAATTAAGGCACTTGAAAAATTAGGTGTATGTACAAATGTGCAAGTAAAACAAACTTTAGCTGCACCAGCAAGTGACAAAGCAACAGTAACTCTTAATTTTAAGAACCTTTAATACAATCAACCTAAAAACAAGTTTCAGTTTATGAAATGAACCAAAGCCATTTGTAATTTTCAATTATAAAATACTGAAAACCAACTGCTAAATTTACTCCAGGCTAAATAAACTAAAACAACTTTAATGACCTAGAAAAGCAAAAGCCCATTTCCAACTAAGTCTCTGAATTTATCCAATGTTGTCAAAGGCAAAGGGAGAATCAGCCTTCTAAAACTAAAACACAAACAATCCACACTTTGAAAGGCTTTCAAAACTTATAGAAACAAAAAATATGCATGATTAGACTATTGTATTTAATCAAAGAAAGGAAGGGAAAAAAAACCATTCTCTTCATCCAGGGCAATCATCATTAAAAAGATCTTTAGTAATATGATAAAAAAAAACTTAAGATTTTTAGGGTTTCATATTTGCTATCTGAAAACTTAAAACGATTGTCACATTTAAAAAGCTAGTAAATGTTCTAAAACTTATTTCCTTGCCTCAGGAAAGAAGTTACTTTCCAAGAAAGCTTGAAAGAAATTCTTTCAAAGTACAATAGTAGTAGGATACTTTTTGAGTACAAAGGAAAGATAACCAATTTTCTCTGTATTCTTTATGCAGCCCTAAAATAAAACTTGGGAGGTTCAATAGAAGGCTTTCAGCTTATTTATAAATTCCTTAGCTTAAATTTCTCAGCTCTGAAAAAAAAAGTAGTTATGTTTTGGATTAAATATTAATAGCATGATATCTAAAAGCAGGTTTATTACTGCTCACATCAATAGTTACATCCTCAGGACGATCTTGACCTTCCTTAAATGTTGAAGAACAAACCGTACATAATTTTCCATTACAGCCCACCTTTTAGTCTGTCTTTTAAGGCACTCACTGTTCTTTATTTTCTCAATGATAATAAGGTGCTCTGCAGCATGGACAATACACAATAATGGTTTGTAACCTTTCCATTCATTTCTTTAAATCTGGAATGTAATTCCCTGTGTGGCATCTTGTTTCTAAAAATAACTTACAAAGCACAAAATTTTACTCTAAGGATACAGTTTAATACTATTAATAAATTTATTATGCTTTTGAAATGATAGCAAAAACCCACCTACACTGATGCTCATTTGGCACACCCTTTTCAATTCTGGTCACTAAATTACATCTTGAGTTGGACTTTTTAAAAAAATTAACTTTTCAGGCTTTAAGGTGACTAAATTTAAACTGTCAAGAGTGAAGAGGCTGTCTGCACAGGACATTTTCCATCACTTAAAAAAGTGACATTTGGCATATAAAGAGAAGAAACATAATCCCACAGCAGCAGCTATGAAAATAAAAAGACCACAGCCACAAGGATTCATGCAGAATATTTTAAATATTCCTGTTCAGCAAAAAGGTTAACTGATTTTTCTTCAAAGATGATGCTTCAAAATATCCTATATGCATCCTTTGGAAATTTAAAGATCCCGGAAAAACATCTTCCATATGAGACTTTCTTGAAAAGTAATTATTTTGGTTTCAGTGAGTTACACAAATGAATTGCCAGTTCTCATTAATTTACTGGGTCTGCTTACAGAGTGTGGTAATTTCGTTCTTTAGATTTGCAGAATTTATAGAGAAAGAAAATTACAGCCTGTACACCCAAGACAAGAACAATTCCTCCAATGAAACTGGCTGCATCAAAGGTAGACTTCCGAGTAGGTTGTGAGGTCGGAGTCAAAGTGGTATTAGTTGCACCTAATATGATGAAAGAAATAACAATTCTTAGTTGTTAACTCTCATGATACTCTACCACAGTATCAAAACACACCTGAACATCTGTTTTGCCATGTTATAAAGTATTTCCTCTTATGACTCTAGTTGCCGAAGATCACCCTTATAATTCTATTCATCTCATTCAGAGATGTAAAGTAGTCAATGTTACTATAATGCTTCAACATGAAAATAAAAGGATTTTTTTCTGGTATATAAATTGTGACACAGGAATTTATAAAGAACTTTCAAATATATAATAATTTTCCGGGGGGGGAAGGGGGGGGAAGGAGAAGGATTGGGATTGGGGGAGAGGGGGGAGGCTGGGAAGGGATGTGAAGGGTAAACAAAGGAGGAGGCTGCAATGCTTGGTAAGAAATGTACGCATTATCCTGCCCATGTAATTGTAACTCCTCTGTACAGCATGTTCACAAATAAAATAAAATTAAATTAAAAAAAAATAATAATAATTTTCCAAGACAACTTTTGGCTAATTCCTATGTTATCTGTGATAAAAATTCATGACATTTGTGTTTTACTATATCTTAACATAAAGTAAATAAAAACTCAGTTCTAATTTTTCAAGTTACAAAAGCATCCTTAAGAATTCAAGCCGGGTGCCGGTGGCCCACACCTGTAATCCTAGCTACTCAGGAGGATGAGATCTGAGGATCAAGGTTCAAAGCCAGCCCAGGCAGAAAAGTCTGTGAACCTCTTATCTCCAATAAACCACCAGAAAACCAGAAGTGACAATGTAGCTTAAGTGGTAGAGTGCTAGCCTTGAGCTGAAGAGCTGAGGGACAGCTGAGCTCAGGCCCAAAGATCAAGCCCCACAACCAACAAAAAAAAAAAAAGAATTCAAAATTGATTATTTCTACAAGCAAAAGAACTCAATTAAAAACATCTTAAATTAAAAACATCTGTTAATTTTTCACTGTGAGAAAGTATCACTAAATCATAAGGAAAAAGGACATGAAAATTGGAATTTCTTTCCAGGTAGTAAAAAGGGGCTGGGAAGGTGGCTCAGTGGTAGAGCACTTGCCTTGCACGCCTGAAGCCCTAGGTTCGATTCCTCAGCACCACATAAGCAAAAAGAAAAAAGCCAGAAGTGGTGCTGTGGTTCAAGTGGTAGAGCACTAGTCTTGAGCTGAAGAGCTGAGGGACAGCGCCCAGGCCCAGAGTTCAGGCCCCACGACCAGACCAAAAAAAAAAAAAAAAAAAAATTTCAAGAACAAAAAGATTATAAGAAAGCAGCATCTATGGTGTGCAGAATCCCAGCCACTCTAGAGTTGGAAGTAGAACTGTAAATTTGATGTGAAATTTGAGGCTAGTACAGGCAGTTAGGGAGCTACTATGTCAAAATGAAATATAAAGCTGGGCACTGGTGGCTCATGCCTGTAATCCAAGCTACTCAAAAGGCTAAGATCTGAGGATCAGGGGTCAAAGCCAACCTGGGCAGAAAAGGTCCGTGAGACTCTTATTTCCAATTACCCAGCAAAAAGGAGAAAGAACAGGTATGGCTCATGTGGTAAAGCACCACCAGCATTGAGTGAAAAAGTCAAGAACTGAAATTCAAGCCCCAATACAGGCACCAGATGAAATAAACAACAAAACCCCACAAAATACAAAAACAAAAAGGGTTGAGGGCATGGTTCAAATGCTAGAGTACTTGCCTGGCATGTCGGTTTACTACTCACTATGGAACAAGAAAAAGCACCCATTTTAATAAAGCACTTCTTATTTAAAGTCAATTTCTTTTTTAACTTTTTCTTTTTTTGCCAATCCTGGAGCTTGAACCGAGGGCCTGGGTGGGCACTCTCCCTTAGTCTTTTTGCTCAAAGCAGTATAGCACATGAATCCTAGTTGGCTCCATTTCTGGCTTTTTGGTGGTTACTTGGAGGTAAGAGTTTCAGACTTTTCTGACTCAGGGACTTCAAACCTTGATCCCAACCTCCTGAGTAGCTAGAATTTCAGGTGTGAGCCATTGACATCGAGCCAACTTCAGTTTTGTTTTGTTTTTTTGGGGTGGTCCAGTCGTGGGACCTGAACTCTGGGCCTGGACACTGTCCCTCAGGCTCTTCAGCTCAAGGCTAGCACTCTACCACTTAAGCCACAGTGCCACTTCCGGCTTTTTTTTCTGCTTATGTGGTGCTGAGGAATCAAACCCAGGGCCTCGAGCATGCAAGGCAAGCTCTCTACCACTGAGCCACCTTCCCAGCCCCCAACTTCCATTTTCTAAAGTAAAATATTAAGCAAATATGATTATACACTAAAAAAAATTAAGATTCTCAGTAGAACTACCATTACTGCTTTAACAGCTTGTTATTATTTTGGTCTTCTAAAAAATGTGTTTCAGTGTTTGAAATAGCAAAAGCAACCATGTGCAAACATTCTACATCACTACTAGTTTAAAAAACTTCAATTACCTGATGTGACAACTGTAGTAGAAGCTGTAGGGGAAGGCAGAGTTGTGGTTTTAGCTGAAATGAAAACAAAATGTATTTTAAAACTTTACGTCTCTAACTTACCAGTTATCTATTATCTACTTTAAAAAAATATATTGTTACTGGAAGGTGGCTCAGTGGTAGACCGCTTGCCTTGCATGCATAAGGGCCTGGGTTCGATTCCTCAGCACCACATAAGCAAAAAGAAAAAAAGCCAGAAGTGGTGCTGTGGCTCAAGTGGAAGAGCGCTAGCCTTGAGCTGAATGAAGAGCTGAGGGACAGCGCCCAGGCCCAGAGTTCAGGCCCCACGACCGGACCCCCCAAAAAAACTATTAAAACTGATGGTGTTAAGAAAGAAAAAACAACTTATTTATTATTACATAGACACCAAGATCTGCCCATTCACTTCAGGATTAGCAAAATTTTCACAAAGGGGTAGACGATAAATCTTTTCATCTATGTTGTATAATGCCAAAAACATGGAAATGAATGAACATGCTTCATCTCATACTAGTAATAGGAAGGAAAGACCTCTGGATACATTTGCGAGAGCATTCGTTTTTTGTTTTTTCCTTGAAAAGTAGGATGGTAAGGGGCTGCATATCACTAGCTGGCTAGGAATTCCTTACCATGCCTAAGACATAATTAGGTTAGTCAGAGTTGAGGCCTGCAGCTTCACCATCAGGATTTGATTACTATGGTAGGTAACTCTCTTTTTGGGGGAAAGATCCTCAGTTTAAAAATTCATTCCATGGTGCTATTCTATGAAAAATGTAAGCTGCTATCCAGTCTTTGCACTATTTCAGAAGAAAGGAACTGACAGTTGAAGAGAATTTGGCAACATATGTTCACTTTGGTATATAAAGTATGTAACTAGAATGTATGGCATTTTGGAGTTTCCTTAGAAGATAAGGCTTATAAATATCTCAACTCTTCTTGGTACCAACATTCTATTGTTTGACACAGGAGGCAGAAATCTCATTGTGTACATGTCTTGAAATACCACATTATATTCCATAAATATGTACTAGTATGTATCAATTAAAAACAGTCAACAGGAGCTTAATGAAAGCTCTGGACTATTTTTTGTGTGACAGTACTGGAGCTTGAACTCGGGACCTTGAGCTTTGTTGCTCACAGGTCTACCACTTGAACCACTCCTCCATTTCCACTGGCCAGACTTCTATTAGGACAGACCCAAGAAAAAACTTAAAGATGATTGCTAACAATACTAATTAATACATGTGTGTAGTTTTCCCATCTTGCTTGGACTAGTGTTATAAACACTATACTACTTTTTATAAGAGTCTCACAGACTTTCATGCCTGGACTGGCTTCAAAACACAATTCTCAGATCTCAGCCTCCTGATCAGCTAGGATTACAATTTAAGGCTCATTATTCCTTCAGGGATTTTGTTGTTTGTCAATTATCTTCAGTGTAACTAAAAAAAACCAAAACACAACAACAAACGTGTGGCTGTCACTGAGGATTTCTCAGGACATCAAGTTCTGCTAAACGAAAGGCCAAGACTTGACTGTAGGAAATACATCTATTAACTGATAAGCACTTCCTAGTTGAAAACAAATCTCTGTTCATATGACATTAATTCTGCTTAAAACAAAACAAGAAATTAAGGACTGTTAAGGAAACAATGCAGTGAATTTCGTTTCATGTAGAAAGGTATGCAGTGGTTTTAATTCAAATAGCCCTTCCCAAGGATAGTGTAATTATCAAAAATGGAATGACAAAATTATGTCAGAAACATACTAGAGAATGTCCTAAGCTGTGAGGTATTTATTTTATATGTTCATGAAAAGAAAAAATAGATCAATAGAGATGCATTCTTTAAATATAAGTTCACATCTTCACGTCAGCTACACAGGATGTGGAGGTAAGAACACCAGCCCTGGGTAAAAAATGTAAGATCCTCTTTGAAAAGTAACTGACACCAAAAGGTTTCAGGCCTTGACTTAAGTGGTAGAGTGATTGCATACCAAAATCCTGAGTTTAGGGCTGGGAAGGTGGCTCAGTGGTAGAGCGCTTGCCTTGCATTCCAGAGGCCCTGGGTTCGATTCCTCAGCACCACATAAACAAAAAGAAAAAAGCCGGAAGTGGCGTTGTGGCTCAAGTGGTAGAGCGCTGGCCTTGAGCTGAAGAGCTGAGGGACAGCACCCAGGCCCAGAGTTCAGGCCCCACGACCGGACCCAAAAACAAAAACAAAAAACCAAAATCCTGAGTTTAGAACCCCAATAGGTGTCCCAAAATCACGTTTGATCATATAACCTACATGTTTAAAATCTTTCAGGATAACATCTAAGTCTATCAGCAGGACATACAAATAGGTGCCTCCCAGTCATGCTTTTGACCTGTAACTGTCAGCTCTCTCCCTTTGTACAGGACACTTAACCTCACTCCTCATGTGCTGACCAGCCTGCTCCATCTGAGCTCTTCTCACATTTTACCAGAATCATTTCAGTCAACAGCACCAAGTTGTCATCACATATCCTGTACGTATCCAACACACACTTTCCTACAAATTCCACCAAACATTGTACTCACTGATTTCATCATTCCTATAGAAATGAAATGCTGGCTTACTTCTTCCCTATATCCTCAACATCTAGTCTAGTACTTGTCCAAGAAGAGATGCATTTAGTATTTGTAAAATTTAAGTACCTACATTTCTTACTGAATTAGTAGATTCAGGGGGTGGTGGAAAATTTTCTAATTGTTGATGAAAATGAAAATGATCAGTAATCAATGTTGAACCTTAAATGACCCAAAAAGTCTCTCAATCACCCAAAGCTAACAAATACCTCTAAGGTATCACTTGTAAGTGAGATGAATGAACTTACTGTCCAACCAATATCACAATAGGCAGCATAGTGCTACCATCTTTCCTTATTTATTTTTTTTTTGCAAGTCATGGTGCCTGAACTCTGGGCCTGGGCACTGTCCCTCAGCTCTTCAGCTCAAGGCTAGTGCTCTACCACTTGAGCCACAGCACCACTTCCAGCCTTTTCTGCTTATGTGGTGCTGAGGAATCCAACCCAGGGCCTCAGGCATGCAAGGCAAGCACTCTACCACTGGGCCACCTTCCCAGCCCCTCTTTCCTTATTTTTTTGTGCCAGTCCTGGGGCTTGAACTCAGAGTCTAGGCACTGTCCCAGGGATTTTTTGCTCAAGATTGGCACATTACCACTTGACCCACAGCTCCATTTCTGGCTTTTAGGTAAGAGTCTCACAGACTTTGACAGGCTGGCTTTAAACCATGATCCTCAGATCTCAGTCACCAGTTACCAGTGAGTCACCAGTACCTGGGCACTGCTACCATCTTATAGTAAAAGAAGAAATATAAAAGTGCATTACTGTACCGTCTAGTTTCACAAAAATGAAATGTACTTACTTAGGTATACACACAGAAAAAGAACAGAAGAAGCTAATTGCTGAAAATATTTTGGTATACTTAACTCAGGTCTTTTAAATCTTTTAAGAAACTATTCAACAAGAAGGCTTAAAAATCCTGAAGAACAGTAGAAGAGTCAGTGAACTTACCTGTAGAACTGGTTGGTACTGGAGTAACAGTAGGCACTATTAATAAAAGATATACACTAATGAGTCTAAAATGTCACAAACTACAACACGAATTCCCAATCTACAAACATGAACACTACTTTCACAATTTTTACAACATAAATACTATCCTTTGGAAGAGACAGTTGCCCCTACTGAACAGAATTATCTCTTTCCTTAGAAATAGAGCCACTTTACAGTATGTTCACAAATAAAATAAAATAAAATAAAATAAAAAAGAAATAGAGCCACTAGTTTACAGTGATATTTACCTTTCCATAGGAAACAAATTTTTAGCTTCCCTTGCAGCAAAGTAGCCAGGTGTACTTTCTATAAAGCAACCTTAAAGACGATAGGGACTATTTATTTTCCCTTCTTGCATGCAAGAAAAACCAATTTGAATGTTGGAACATGCATAAACATCCTTCTTAGACAATTATGATCAGGGTCATTCTGGGAAGGTAAACGAAAACCTAAAAGGAGCCTAGGTTGTAGATGTTCATGTAGCCATCTAGTTTTGCTACAGATCAGACTTCTTTTACATGAAGTTGTCCACTCTGGAAGCCATCATAACTGGACATTGTTTCCTTTATAGCTAAACCTATTTCTAATGAGTATAGCAGGAAATAAACAGCATTATTTATTTTTCTTTGAATCAATATTTTGGGGGGGGGGTCCGGTCGTGGGGCCTGAACTCTGGGCCTGGGCGCTGTCCCTCAGCTCTTCAGCTCAAGGCTAGCGCTCTACCACTTGAGCCACAGCACCACTTCCGGCTTTTTTCTTTTTGCTTATGTGGTGCTGAGGAATCGAACCCAGGGCCTCTTGCATGCAAGGCAAGCACTCTACCACTGAGCCACCTTCCCAGCCCTGAATCAATATTTTAAAAAGGTTTTGGGTGAGGCATAAGCTCAAGTGGTAAAGTTCTTACCTAGAATGTGCAAGACCTCAATATTGCAATCTGGTTTCCAAGTAACTTCATGAACTCAAGTCTGATAATTTTTAGTTTTCTAATATATATTAAGATGCATATTTTGAATGTTTGTAAATGTACCACTTAGCCCATATTATACATTCTACACAGGATAATACTGATTTAATACTAAAGAAAATTCTTTTTGTCTAATGTACTATGTGTAGTCATTTCTTTTTCCCTTCATTTCCCCGCTTCGGTTTATCCCGTTTTTTATTTTGGTACCCTGTGTCTTACATATATATCTATCTGATTTAGGGAAGGGAAGGAGATAACAAAATGCTGAGACAAAAGACAAAGGGTGAACCAATCCAACAGTGATACTCACAAGATACTATGTTAGAAATGAACTTTATAACTTAGAGAGGATCAGGGGAGAAAGAAAGTAGGAGAAAATTCCTAGTTACAAAGTTTATACTGGAATGACCAAAGTTAAATTAGGCAAAGGTTAATCTTCAAAGTTTATGGACACACCGCGCAAAAACCTTTTACTCTATTTTCAATTATGCTGGATATTCAAATGTGACCATCACCAGTACTGTAACACAGAACATACCAGAATACATTTGTCTAGACCAGGAAAACGTAAATAAAGACCAGTTTAAACTGCAGTTTTTTTAAGTAGGAGACTTAAAGTATCTACACTTACAGAATTTCTTCACAGGATAGGTGAATCACTAAACCAAGTTTCAAACTATCCTTTTAGCAATATGAATATTCTATTCATATCCAAATTCTTAACAAGGTTAGAAATTATAACAATGCTTTAAACTTACCAGAACAAGAGTCAGTGCTATTTGCCACAGTACAATTAATAACTTCTGAAGTATTTGAACAGTAGGTTCTACCTATCATAGGAAAACAAAAAGATAAGCAGCACCAATTACTTTTTTGTTTTTTTTGGTGGTAGTAGTGGTGGTCTCTTTGTTTTAATAAGCTCCAAAACATCTGTAAATAAAAAAATCAAGCCCCAATAAATACTTTAGAAGTCCAAAGACCAACAAATACTATTGTTTAAATATTGTTATGTTTTGCCTACAGTTGGAGAGGTATTACACAGATCCTCCAAATTTTATCCTTCTAAAATCACATAAATAGCTCATAGCTTTAGTCGTAGCTACTTAGGAGGCTGAGATCTTAGGACTGTGGCTCAAATCCAGCCTGGGTAGAAACGTATGACACTCTTACCTCCAATTAAACAACAAAAATGCCAGAAGTGAAGCTATGGCTCAAGTGGTAAGGATCTAGCCTTGAGCTCAAAAGCTCAGGGACAGTGCCCAGGCCCAGAGTTCAAGCCACAGGACTAGCTAAAAAGATAAAAACAAAACAACAACAAAAACCCATATAAATACACTGAAAATCTGAAATATTCAGAATTATAATTTGAGAGCCAGCCAGAAATCTACAAAAAAAAAAAAAGGGTAGCACAAGTGGTTCTAATTTTTTTTTTCCCCTTTTGGTCCAGGACTGAGATACCAACTCAGCACCTGAAACTTTAGCTCACTGTCTAGTGCTCAATTAAGCCATACCTCCACCCCCTCAAGACCTTTAATAAAAAAAACTTAGTAAAGAGTAACCATGGCAGTAGTAGAAACTATGCTCCAGATTTCCCTGATTTCGATGTCTATACCTTGTAAAATAGCTTTCTTAGACAGGCAGACTTGGAGAAAGTCTCCCCCTCATCAAGTAGTGGAGTATAAACTCAGGGCTTATCGCTTATGGCTCTACTACCTGAGACATATCCCTAGCAGCAAGTCTTAAAATTGAAAACTCAAAAATCTCCAAAATTCATCTGGTATACATCACTGTGTATGGGAGAGAACACCTTTAAATTCTATTTTATGACCTAACAAAGTGACTATTATATAATGAAAAATTAAAGAGGTTCTGCGCTTCATGTAATTTCTAAAAATATTTAATTTTTACTGAATAAGGCAATTTAACATGTGAATTTTTCTATATTAAGCAAGACTGTTTTGCTGATAAGGAAAAAATGCAACCACTGTACACTGAGAACAGAATGGTTTATGCTATAATCCTATGACTAATAAAAATCTTACATTTCAATCTACTTCCACCTATCTCTTTATCCTTCAAATGTTCAAAGTTAACTACTTTAATACTTAACAAAACAAGAAAACTGCAACTACTTCACAGATAATTCTAACATTTTACTGCACCTTAAACTTTACTAAGACTTAAAATCTCTCTAAATTATCAAGTGTAAGAAATCTAAAATGGGGGGAAGGGATGTTTAAGCAATTGGCATTTTAAAGTACTGGATTTACAAAATAAACAATGTAACTAGCCTAAAGGCTCTAAGGAAATTTTCAAAATGTTTAAGAATGAATAGGTTTCTAAGAAGTTATAAGGAATGTGTTTTTGTATTTTCAAAATTAGAGCAGTATAACAATTCATAATCTCTTACCTAATTTTTTGCAGTTTATCCAAAAGCAGGTAGTATTAGCAATGCTAGCATTAACACAGGAAACACAGCTGTTCTGGCTTTCACAGGTTTCTAGGAGGAAACAAATGAAGATGATGAATTAGTATCTCATTTGCACTTATTCTCGTTATATTTTGAACAATAAACGTTAAATGACACAGTAGCAGAAAAATTCAGAGAAATGGTAAAAACTTTTAAAGAAATACCAATTATATGAAACCAAATAATAAATTTGAGAAACAAGTTGAGTTAGTGGGCTCATCAGTACTTTTCCCTCACAAAACACTTTTATTACAGTAATTGCTATTTTATACTTATAATTTTGGCATATAGACAAAAGAATTTGGCAAGATTTATAAAACAGTCATCTGGATATTCAATATATTAATCAACAACAAATATATAGATGCTATTAGTACAAAAACAGAGAGCCCAGATAGATGCTCAGTACCCTAAGGTACCTATAAAACAATCTTTTTTCAGAACACTATTTGAAAGATACTCACCACACACACCACACTCATACTCTTGAGGCATTTTAAAGTGTCCTTAAAAATTAAAAATACTAGCCAGGTACTCATACCTGTAATTCTAACTACTCAGAGGCTGAGATACAAACAGACACACAAAAAAAGATTGAGATCAACACTACATATAAGGGAAATTACTGTCCCCAGAAGCACAGCGTTTTTGAAATTTCTGTACGGATTCTTGAACTCAAGAGCCTGGGCACTGTTCCTGAACTTATTAAGCTCATGTCTAGTGCTCTACCATTTGGGCCCCAGATCCATTTCTGGCTTTTTGGTGGTTAATTGAAGGTAAAAATCTGACTTTCTTGAACCAGCTGGCTTCTAACCAATATCCTCAGATCTCAGCATCCTGTTAGCTAAGATCACAAGCATTGAGCTGCTGGTGCCCAGCAGGAATTTATGTGCAAAGGGAAGGAATTTTTTTTTTTTTAAACAGGAATGAAGATTACAGGTTAGATTGAAACTCTGATGCTGGAGGACTAAAAACAATTTCCCAAAGGCTCAAGATTCACAATACTTCGCCTTAATGATTCACCCTTCACAGGGTTCTCTACAACTAGAAACCACCTTTAAAAGCGCAACACTCATCTATACATTATTTGATGCTAGGAAGAAGTTTATCAATTGTTTTCTAAGTCAAATGATCCAGAAATAACTTGAAGTCAATTACAACTGAATGTCTGCACAAAGAAATCAACTTACAGAATCTTAGAAACTAGATGCATGTACAGTCTCATTTGCTTTCCTCTTGCCTAAAAAATTAGTTCTACAGTAGCATTCAACACTTTATTGAAAACATATATTCACAAAATAGAAGTTCTTCAGAATTTATGCCCACTACTTAAAAATCATATTTAAAGCCTGAACACGAGTGTAGCTCAGTGAAATGTTTTTTACAGTAAACTGAACTTACAACCTTTTCTAGGGCATCTTATCTATGATTTCCAGAAAAGAAAAATTATCTCTTCTACCTGCACTTCAATTACACAAAAGCAATGAACTTCGTATTTCCAAGCTTCTGTTAAAGACACAAAACAACCACACTCTGTAATTCTGAGGGGAAACTGCTAAATAAGGGGAAGACAAAAATAATCTGCTCTGTCATTCTAAGCAGTGCGGTTAGAAATTGCCAGTATTATACTGTAACAACTTACTTTCCGTACTTACAATTTTACCCTAACATCTTGCTGGATGTATTAAGTTCGTCACGTATTTCATCGAATTTTATATTAAAAATACTAAAACGTAGGGTGACAGAATACAATGAGCAGCTTAAAAACGTCCTAGTAATAGTTCACCTAGTTATCTCAAATTACCCTTCCCTCTCTTTTCTGTAGTCACGAACGTCAATTTCAGCTGTACCTGCGTGTACCGTACACGCCTCAACTGACCGTACTCAACAGCAAGAGTTGAAGATGTTCCTTGAGTGGGTTGCTAGAAAAGCGACAGCTCTGGGTTCCACTCCAACTCCACAACCACTAAGCCTATTGTCCGGGTTTCCCCATCCATCCTCCAGGTTCGCCTCGAGCACCAAAGGCTAATCTGTGGTAAGCACGAAACACACGCCAAGGACGCGCTGTCTTCCTTTCGCTCACAACGCGTACTTTTCGGCAGCCGCACGCTCCAACCTTGCTTATACCTGTCGGCCAGAGCGACGCGGTGACATTTCCGGCGACTTAATTTCTTAGGCCCCGCCGTTCCAGAGACCCGAACGCTGCTCACGTAGGTTAAGTTTCTGTTTCTCCGGGGCTAACTTCCGGAGGAGCGCCCGGCGCGAGAGGCCGGGGTGCACGGGCCACCCGCCCCCCCCC